ATAATAATAATTTTTTTCAATTTACCTCCAGTTGAAAGAAATTTTGTAGTTGGCTGAAGAATTTTCGTCTGTAAAAAAAAAATGCTTCAGATATTGCTGAAGAAGTACCCAGGTTTAATAGATAGAACTTTATTACCACCTTCTGATTCATCGGCCTGGCTCATATCCTAATTAACGATATCAATATAGGCAGGACCAATAGCAATAATGAAAACTCTGATGATCCTGCTGACTCTCCCGATAATGATAATCCTGATGATCCTGATGAAGAATATGAACCTATTGCCAGATCTAATAACTTCCCGAATAAAGCGTATCATATGTGGTCTTATACAAAAAGAGTTTCAACTAGAACTAGTTTATCTACAGGTATAGTATTGTTTTCTATCTTTCAATAGTTATTTCACTAACAAGCCATTACCTAACATTATATAGTGGTTAGGGTTAGCATTTTTGTTAGCTATGAGTACATATATTATTAGTAAATTATTACTTTGTAATATCAGATAAATGGTCTATCAATGTAATGACTATCGAGAAATTAGATATAATTAGGAAAGGCAATAGCTAGCTATTTTAGGCTTAGCCGACTGGCTAAGCCTAAAATAGCCAGCTGTTGCTTTTCCTAGGTATAATCTAACTAAAGATCATATTAAATTATTAAATTTGAATTTGACAAAAAGCATTTGCCCAACTAACAATCTTTAAATCATTTATAAAATTATTAAAAAAACCAATAAAGAAAAGCAAAAAGAAGTTGTTAAAGAAGGAGCCGAAGTTGATAAAGAAAAGCAAAAAGAAGTTAGCAAAGAAAGAGCTGAAGTTGATAAAGAAAAGCAAAAAGAAGTTGGTAAAAAAGAAGCTGAAATTGATAAAGGAAAGCAGAAAGAAATTGTTGGTATATATCATAAAATAGTAATAGATACCAGCTATATAAAGTAATTTTATTTAGTATTTATATACTTTTTCTGGTTTAGAACCCTATAGAAATCTTTCTTTAATATCGGAAGGAAAAACTTCTAGAGTTCCTAATTATCAAGAGTCCAATATCAGCGTATCTGATGTTAACTATCAAGATTCTAATGCTGATGATACTGAAATTATAGAGACTCTTGCAAATACTGAAATTTTTCTACAATGTTTATTAGAACTAGAAGAACCAGAAGAGCAGGAGAAGGAAAGTGAAATAACTAAAAATAAACAAAAAAAGAAAAAAAAACAAAAAAAACAAAAAAAAATAAAAGATAGTTAGATGATATATTGGTATTGTTGTC